TGATGATTTATTACAAGCAACACATGAAGAAATGTTTACCTTTTGCTTACCGACCAGACTTGATGATCACTCTCTCCCGGGTAATGGTCCACTTCACACCTCTGCTGCTTTGGTTCGTGTTGCTGGGTTGTGGAGAAAACTTGTACTTCACACATTAGTACATTGATTGTGGCAGTCAGTACATCAAGCAGAAACTGTTCGTAAGTAAGTAGAGTAACATGGGGCGCGGCGGTCAAGTGGATACAGTGTGCGCCTCGTGTTCCAGGGATCGGTGCTTCGATTCCCGAGTGCTTCCAGTTCTCCCAGCTGTAAATGGGTACCTAACTTTATAACTTGGGGAAGTGGGTGAGGTCGTGAGTAGTTCCTGCCCGCTGCCTCCTTGGGAACAATTTCCACTTTCGATTTCACACTTCAGAATTCGGGGTTCACACCTCAGGGAGAGAGAGAGGATTGGTAACGCTAAGTGATGAAAGCAGGAGTGGAGCCAACTGTACATGAGCGGGGACTACCCTAACTAACCTAGCCTAACCTAATATGGTAAAAATTATCAATCAGAATTTGTGTGGCGAGAAGTGGTTCGTTCACCACTGTTCTTCGTTCTTCGGGTAATGGACACGTCATTTAGACGTTTACTAAGCCCAAGTGATCAGGTTTATTCTCACGTATTTGTTTAGAGAAATATTTATCGCATGAGCGTGAGTGAATTTTCTCAGATACTCGTCGAGTAATCTTCCCTTAACATAGTTAATTATGGTAGTCTTCGCCAGTGACTCAGATATCAAGGATTATTTCACTGTGGTGTTTTTTACATTTGCAGTTACAAATTTCAATTACATAATTATGTTGTAGATTTATTACAATACCCTGCTCACAACTGTAAGGCAGGAGGTATGGATTTTCAGTCCTGTCTCTGTGTCTGTTCCAAAAATAACTCGTGAACGGGTTTGCAGGATTTATTAACACCAAACTTGATATGTTTGATCAACACGTGACAAGGTGCACATGATAAACGTTTGGTGCAAATAGCGCCAAAATTGACCAAGTGTTGCTATAGTAATGGTTCGTGAAGTTTTTCGAGCGTTAAAGAAAAGAATGAAATGGGACAGTCACCAGCCGTGACTTAATAAATTTATAGTAACTGCTTCACCAATTCGACATGTAACCTGTCATGGTAACGGTTCGCGGGCAAAAGGTTTGTATCCACTCTGATGATGTCTTTAATTGTTATTGGATTAATAATTTCAAACTTTTAACTCCTTTCTTGGGGTATACATTTACCAGTGATTGTACACCTGCACTTTCTATTACGTTGAACAGTACGAGTTACAGTACAGAGGTTTGAATATAATTTATAAAGCCACTACCCCGCTCGCTGTAGGACCAGCTACTGTTGTATGGAGTACTGGGTCAACATTGTCCAAGTAAATTATAAACACGAGGTAAGACTTGAAATGTCCTTTTGATACTCTGCTAGAACCTTTATCCAGTCAGTTAGATGCTGTCTGTTCACAACATATGACTCCTCTCTTTTAATCCATTCCGTGATGTGGATCTTCTCGATGATTTGTAAAAACTTCACAGGCTAAGGGCCTTGAGTTGCAGTACCGGGACCTTAACTCAGTAGGTAGTAGTCAGCTACCAAACAGGGAGGTACTACCGCCTGGGAAGATATTGGAAGCATAATGTGTTGTCTAATGGTGGACCCTGCTGCCATATGGCATCATGAATATTCTGCCTCATTTACACACAATTGTATTTATTTATGGAAAAAAATAAATTTTCGCCTCCCAGGCCCACCTGAGCCCGGGGTGGGCTGATTCCCATGAAAAAACAAAAACAAAACAATTCAGGTCAGTCCACCTTCAGCAGTTGGAGGTCTCGGGCGCATAGCGGGATTTTTGTCCATGACTGTTTATCTGTACAGAAGAGAAATATTAACTGATGATCATTGTACACAACTAGGCTAAACGAAGTGGGCGTGATGTGGGCGCGCGTGTTGATTTGTGTGTGGATGGTGGACGTAGTCATGTGTGTTCGTCAAAACTCGGAGCAGCACGAGAACGACACACATCCAGTAAGTAGAACAGAACGGACAATTGGAAAAGTACCATGAACACGACCAGTAAGCGATATACAGTATCTTTATTTGTTTTCTTTATTTTACCTCTTCATTTATTTCTTTGAGAGGAAGAGGAGACGACCCAAACAAACCTAACCTAACCTAAAACTTTATACTGTAATTAAGTTAGTTAGTTTAGGTTTCGTGGTTTGTGTGATCACCAAAAAAAATAAATGGTTTGAGTTGTGTTGAAAGTGTTTAACTCAAGTTTTAGTGAACTGTATTTTTTTTTTAGATACTTAATTTTTTCTTATTGAATCGACAGTTATGGATGTTGTGATGATGATCTTATTATTATTATTATTATTATTATTATTATTATTATTATTATTATTATTATTATTATTATTGTGTAATACTGTATTATTATTACAGAACATGGATAATGCTACCCTCACCGTTGAAAATAACACACTTGAGGGAACTGTGAAGGAAGACCTCAGTCAGCAAATACAGGGGCGGAACCAGAACGTTTCTACTGGGATGGCCAGGTTAGACCCAGTGATTTTATTGGGGTGGCAAACTGGGGTGGTGAAAAATAGCTGCTTCAAATCTACAGAAAATTATTTAATGTTGTTACCCCTATCTGTGTATGGGCTCGGTGGAATATCCTTCACACACCTAAGGTAGCTAAAGACATACACCTCTGCTGCTATTACTCTTCTAACAAACTAATTTTATGTAACTGCACCTCTATAAACATTACAATTAGAAGGATATTTGCTTTAAATGCGTATTTTATGGATAACAATTCACAAGAGAAGGTCTTGTCACCAATTTATTTCCAATTTCATACAAAAAAAGAAGAGAAAAACAAAATAGTCTGACAGTTTCGCAATAAGGTCAAAATGTGCATAATACAGCATTATACAGGTAACAAACAACAATAACATGGGCCTCTCAATAAACAAAGTGGATATAAACGTAAGTTGCGTCTCTGTAGAATCCCCACTGATCATAAAGGGCAAAAACCTACAGTATCTTTACTGCTCACTTAGCATCTCACTTGTGCTGTTAAATATATTATAATCTAGAATTTGTATATATGATTTTTCCTCCGCTCTGACTGCTTCGCTTTGCGTAACGGGTGGCCACTGGCCAGAGGGGTGGCCAAGCTTTACTCTAGGCCCCTAGGGTGGCACTGGCCACCCTCGGCCACCCCGTAGCTCCGTTACTTGAAGCTAAAGTAAAGGCATTGGAACAAGCCAACCGTCGCCTCAAGACAAAGGGAAACCAAACACGCCAGGACCATTTCTTAAGTCCAGGGTATGACAACGCTCACACCCTCGTACTCAGGGTGTGGTTGTTGTGTTGGCAACAGCTTCTACACCTCAAACAAATTCACGCCTAGGTAGCCCTAGGGCCGGCCATCCTCGTTACACGAGAGGCAACCATTATTATGTATGCATGTACAGTATGTATGTATGTATGTATGTATGTATGATTGTATGTATGTATGTATGTATGTGTGTGTGTGTGTGTGTGTGTGTGTGTGTGTGTGTGTGTGTGTGTGTGTGTGTGTGTAGGTTATGCATTCACGCAGTCCTTCATTCCTGCTTCACTCTTTTTTCTCATTCTTAACACGGTTTTATTCTGGACCAAGGCTCTACTCCTGTATCTGCACCTCATCATAGGGTTACAGAGATACAAGATCCGGGTTACAGCAGGGATGCAATGATTCGGGGATACAGAGATGCAAATGATTCAAGGCTACTGTGACACAATGATACCGGGATGCAGTGTTCCCTAGTTCTACAGATACAGGGATACAGTAATTCGGGGTTACAAGGATGAAATGATTCAGAGTTACAGGGATACCTAAGTTAAAACACGAAAATACCATCATCAAATTATCAAAATTATAGTAGTGAGTCTTACATAACCAGACACGTATCATTGGACAAAATCTTACAAAATTATTTCCACAAAATTCTGCTTGACAATTTCCTCCTAATCCCATAACTGGAATTAACCAAACGTTTCTAGTTAGGTTAGTCTCAGTATAATTGTAATGCCTTATTTTTGTTATTTCTGTGTGTTTTATCGTAAGTCAACCAGTCAGGTGCATTCTTAAATCTTAATTTACAAGAATTCGACTGCATATCCGGCTATGACACCACGCCATGTTTAACTAACCCAGCTTGATCCATTTTAACTTTGGTAATGGCAGCTATATTTTATTTGCTCATCAAAAAAGCCTTAGCCTCGTATCCTCCCCTTAAGTCTAGATACTACAAAATGACAGTTTAAGTCTAGAAACAACAGGCTCAGTCAGTTGCAGAACTTACAATGTGATCAGCGTTCATCAGAATCATGTTCACTACCACGTCACTCCGAGGAAAAATTATATCTCGGAAAATTATATTTACTTTAATTTTTAGAGGAGGAGGATGTTACGAGGATAAAAATTTCCCTGACGTCAACTTAACGTAAGGCCAGTCAGGTTATTTGCGTCAGACCTGCTATGTAGAGTTTTGGTTCCAGTGTGTGGCGTGACCGCACAGCCACACCTGGTCGTGAGGGTCTAGGTATGTCCCTTGCAGGAACAGGAGCCTCGACTGTTTCAGGCCCGTCGATTGTGCTGACTACCTGGTGCTGGGCTCCAACCAGAGTGGCGTCTACAAGATCTACCCTTTCACGTGAGTACTATTCTGACAGAACTGTTCCAGTTCCCTATTGGTGTGAGTATTACACATAGATCTTTGGTTCTGTGAATATTGCCCACTAGATGCTTGTCCCAGTGAGTATTACCCTCTGTACCCCTCAGCTGTCCCTATGAGTATAACTAGTTTTCCATCCATGACGGACAGCAGCAGACAGGTGAAGGTGCCTATAATCCCACAGGTGCAGGTGTACCGAGGGTGTGCAGGTGTATTGCGACATGGAGACAGACGGGGGTGGGTGGACAGTGTTCTTGAAGCGTCAAGAAGATAAGCTCCTCAACTTTAACAGATCCTGGAGTGAATATAAGGACGGGTTCGGTAACCCCTCTGGCGAATACTGGCTGGGTAAGACCAATACACACATACATATACGCAACTATCAACGTCAGTAAACACAAATTTCCACATCAATTTATGTTTACCAGAGGACTGAGGTACAACAACTTTCTCAGGGACGGAGTACCTGCACACCATAACCTCCAACCGGGACTACGCACTAAGGCTCGACCTCCAAGCTGGTACCTGGCAACAGTCCATCTGGGCGAACTTCAAGGTGGACGACGAAGTTGAAAGGTTGGTTCCTGCCAGCTGCCTGGTTGTGAGGACCATCATGTTGGTAAGTGCAAATTGATATATGTAACACTTACTGTTTGTCGCCTCAGGTGGCCCACATTACCTTATCCCAGCACAGTCAAGTCTAAGGAGCATTGGAAAAAAATTATTGGTTATCCAACTTGTGTGAAATCTTGTGACATATTTAGACAACAGTTGGGTCTGCATCAGTGCCGGAGGAGTGTTGAGGGCGCACGGCCGAACAGGGCACCCAACTTTAAATATAGAAAAGAAAATATAAAAGCTAGCTTCTTGAGGCTTATTATTAGTATGTCATTGACTAGTTAGTTTCTCCGCTGTTGTATATCGTTGACAACCTTGTGGAGGGGGGGTAATATAAGCATGGATACGCCGTCGTTTACTCAAGAGGTTAAAAGTAAAAATAAGTTTCCCATATTCTTGGCTTAGGGTAATCAATGATTTTATGGCGTTTCACTTTTATAACACAACGGCTTGTGGGTATTATTACTACACAGGTCCTCCACAGGCCTAAAAATCCGGCTTTGGTCTGGGTAATTATGTTAAAAAATCCAAGACCTACTGACCGCCTACCAGCATAGACTATAAATTCCCCACAAAACAGCCAACACTCGTATTAAACTGCCTGAATACACAACACACTAACGAGTCCAGATATAACAATGATATACAAGAGTAAGGTGTATGTGTCTGTGTGTATAAGAGACGTTTATATTGTGTGTGTATGTACAGAAGACTAATATTATGTGTGTGTGCATGTGAGAGAGAGAGAGAGAGAGAGAGAGAGAGTGTGTGCGTGTGTGTATGTTTGGGCGGCATATGGTAATGGTGTTGTCAGTAATACAGGTTGTTGGTGTTTAGTAATAGTGGTTGTTGGTGTGGTAGTTAGTGTTTGTTGGTGTTGTAGTAATAGTGGTTGTTGGTGTGGTAGTAATAGTGGTTGTTGGTGTTGTAGTAATAGTGGTTGTTGGTGTTGTAGTAATAGTGGTTGTTGGTGTTGTAGTAATAGTGTTTGTTGGTGTTGTAGTAATAGTGGTTGTTGGTGTGGTAGTAATAGTGGTTGTTGGTGTTGTAGTAATGGTAGTTGTTGGTGTTGTAGTAATTGTAGTGGTTGTTGGTGTTGAGGTAAAAAGTGACAGGGTAGGTTAGGTTAGGTTAGGTTAGGTTAGGTCTGTTTTTCTAATAGGTAAAATGACCTATACTTAGAACACCATACAGTAAGGGGTCACTTTATTCACTCAACTAATGTTTACGTTTTATTTTGAATTTCCAGGAACTGTCTGGCTCATTCTAATGGCCGCTTCTTCTCAACCTACGATCGGGACCAAGACTCTGTACTCGGTAATATGTTTATTTGTGTGTTTCTTATTGTCGTGTTTTGTTTCTCACTGCTGTGGGTTTTTTTCTCACTGTTGTGTTTTGTTTCTCACTGTTGTGTTTTGTTGCTCAATGCTGTTTTGTTTCTCACTGTTGTGTTGTTTCTCACTGTTGTGTTTTGTTGCTCAATGCTGTTTTGTTTCTCACTGTTGTGTTTTGTTGCTCAATGCTGTTTTGTTTCTCACTGTTGTGTTTTGTTGTTCAATGCTGTTTTGTTTCTCACCGGTGTTTTTTGTTGCTCACTGCTGTGTTTTGTCTGTTTATCGCCGCTTTGTCAGTGCTCGAGCTGTTGACGAGGAAGAGAAATTCTGTCAGGGCCAACAAGAAGTATCATATGAGTAGTATGAATATTAGCAGGGAATTTTTAGGGAAATCGGTCATGGACGCAACTAACTAAGGAAAGAAGCCCCTCCGGCTAGGTCTCGTACGGTATTACTAGATATTTTATACTTATTCTCTTCGCCATTGATCGGGTTACTAGCCACTTGGACGGTCGGTCACGTCTCTGTTATGCACTGATGGCAATTACTGGATATGTACTGGCTCCATATTGCATCTCTACCTGCCCAGTGTTGGCCAAGTCTTACATGATCTCACACTCAGTGCCATCAGCCTCTCTGGCAGGTTATTTCAAGAGATCACAGCTCGCACTCCCCCAAAAAATTACTCTTACAATTTTTTGGACTTGTGTCTTCTTCAATTTGAGGATGTGACCTTCAGTGGGGCGGACTTGGGCTACTCCCGGAAGGCAAGCATAAACTCTGCTTGCTTCCCTGTTGGGCGCTGTTAACGCTTTTGCGCTTCACGTTGCACAAGATGCAAGGGGGTGCCCAATAAACTAGCTCCCTCGCGGGGCAAATTGGAAAAAATAATTGTATAAACACTCTACTGAATAATGTAAGACGTATAAGCTAGGCAACTGCAGGTGTTTTAATCTCTCTGGGTACCAGAAGTGCCGTAGTACAGACGCTAGTTTGATTTCGGACCTCTTTTGGATATTCTCAATGATTAGTCTCAAGCATATCTAGGGACTAGACGGGACGACAGCACTCCAGACTGGGAAGCACTTTACCTTTGAAGTGTTATAAGGGAGAAACCATCTATAGGTATGCGAGCCCCCTCTTATAAAACCTACTAGCTGAGTTGCCCAGAAACCCCGTGTGTACCTGGAAGAGTTTCTCTAGCGTTAGTGATGTGTAGTTTACCATGTAGTGTCCCCACATCTGGTCTCAGTAAATGCATTTCGTAACGTAGGATCTTAACAGCCATTCCCTTGAACATTCTGAGGCCGACAAAGACCTTCCTGTAGCGCTTCGCAATCCGTTTGGTTCTTAATTTCCCTGAATAACTTTGTGTCGTCAGCAAACATTTGTATGAAGGAGTGTATAGCTTCTGGCATGTCATTTATTAAACAAACAAATAACAGCGGTCCCAGTACACTGCCCTTTGGTACCCCACTTGTCACGAGTACACATGATGATTTCGCACCATTGCTTGTGGTCACGAAAAAGTCTTGGATCCATGCTAGGACTCTCCCCCCGAATTCCGTACCTTTCCAATTTAATTTTCAGTCTTTCGTGGGGCATGCTGTCTAAAATCTTGGCAAAGTCTATATCATCAACATTGGCACTACACTTCAGAATCTGTGTCCACACATCTAGCAGTAATTGCGTCAGGCGGGAGCGTTCAGTCATAAAACCGTGTTGGTATTTTTTTACCAGGTTGTTTCGTAGTAGATGTCACATCATGGCATCTCGTATAATGATCTGAAGTACTTTACACACTATGCTGGTCAAACATACCTGCCTATAATTAATCGTACAGTGGCGATCACCCCGTTTGAATAAAGGATTCACATTTACCATTTTCCAGTCCCTGGGGCCCCTTTTGCTCGTCCTTGCATCTGCAGAACAGTATTTTTAAGGGGCTCAGTGAGGTCATGGTCCAGTTCACTTAACACTGGGATGCACATTGGTAAGGCCAGGGCTCTTATGAACCTTGAGCTTTGGCAATTTGATTCTTTTAAACTCTTCTGAGAACTCGATGTGCGTCAGTGTTCTGCATCACTGCTGTTCCTAAAAGCAAGAGGTTGTTCACATCCTCTCTTGTGAACACTGAAGGAAATAATATTTAGCGCCTTTACCTTGTCCTGATGTGAGTTCGCGTAACTACTATCAGTTTCAAATCTGATACGCCCAAATATGTCTTTGATTTCGATTTTGTCTCGTTTGCTATCCGCTTCTGGAACTCTTTTTCAGCCCTTCTACACTCTGCCGTGGCTTGATTCCCTGACCTACAGTAGCTTACACCCTTCTGACCTGCTCATCATTGGTCGTAACGCATCTCTTAAAATTATGCATGGTTCATATGTAACGGTCTGCCAGTAGTCATATGGTTAGTTCACTTTAATGACTATAATGTTCAGGGTAGTATCCAAACTCTTATTTCTCAACGAGTCAGGTCACTGAATACCCCTTATTTCCTCCCTCACCCTGTTGTAGTCACCATTTTAATACTTGAACCTTGGCATGCTCTCATCATGTATAGTACAAAGTAACAGTTTAATCCGAAGGACATCACGTCATGGCTTGTGCCAACGGCTACATGTTCCAACTTGCCACCATGAGGTCCAGCAGTTTGAGTGTTTGTTCACCGCTACAGCGAGTTGAATTTTTAACATGATGAAAGAGTTTCTGCAAAAAAGAGTTACAGGATTATTAAGGTCATTTGGTGTAATTTTACGGAAAGTTACCGACAATTACAGTAAAAGAAAAAAGGGGGTTGCACCAGCCTAGTCTAGTTTATAAATCTTTGATTTAGTCTTACCGAAATTTTCTATAAGCTTATAATGTTTCTCTTATGAGCGTGCTTTTGATGGCAGATAACTGTGCACTGCAACATGGCGGCGGCTGGTGGTACTACAACTGTCAACACTTCAACCCCACCACCTCACTCAACGCCTCGGGTGGCTTCAATATCTCTTGTTACAACAAGGACTTCCAGACCGTCCAAAACCTTCAGCTAAAAATCCGTCCTGCCATGTGTAGCGCCAACGTCAAGGCCGTCTACTTGAATAGATATAAGTGTGAAGGTTGTCATCATGCAGTGCAGCCACTTACCATTAAGGGAGATTAATGTGGCCACAACACGGCCAAGCCTGTCATAGTATAGGGTTCTTTGGGTTAAACTGTGGCTTCAGTAGACCCCTTTGTATTATTTAATTTATATGTACTTGAGACTCCTACCAGATGCTTCTGGTAACACTGTACAGTTCAAGGATCCCGTTTCCTATAATATGGAATAAACTGTTGAAATTGAAACAAAAATGGGAATCGCAGAACAGTCGTTAAAGGTGGCTAAAGCAATAAGGTTGCAGTGTTTGGAGCTTGTTGGCTCTTTTTGACCTATTTACGGTTATACACCCTCCAGGGGCAGATCCAGGGTGGTCCTGGGGGTCCGGACCCCTCCTTTTCATCAGATAATTCCAATACTTTTTTAATGTACTGTAGTATTGTACTCAGGCGTTTTTGTATAGTAAAAAGTTGTTACTATTGACCTCAGAATATCTAATATCAAGTGGAGGTGAAATTTGGGGAAAACACTGTTTTTGACAAATTTTGTGAGGAATATGAAGACAAAATTATAAGAATTCCTAACAGTGAAGAGACTGTTAAAGTGATGAATTTTAGTAAAACTTTAACTTGTGTATCAGTTAAAGATGCTCCCTTTGAAATGGGAAATGAAATTATAATGAACATCATAAGTAAATATGATAAGGTGGAAGGAATGAGGTGAACAAGAACACAAAGGGACCAGCGACTGGACTGTTGAATGGGACAAGAACCTTCAATGTAAATATAAAGAACAACATTCCATCATCAGTAACAGTAGGTGGCCATAGTTTAACTTTTCTTTTTGCTGGACAGAGGAAACCTTGTTATAAATGCGGACATGAAGGTCATTTGACAATTAATTGTCACACCGAGGAAATATATAAGGTGAGCATCTTTAATGAGGAAGACTTCCCGGCTATACATGCAAAGTTCAAGGGCACTTGTTAAGGAAGGAGAAGAGAGTGCCAAAGTGACTCGGGTTCCAGCAACAGCCCGGTATGGGGTAGAAGGGGAAGAAGTACTGCTGTAGATCCAGATCATACCACACACCCAGATGGTTCAGAAAATTGTGTGCAGGAAATAGGGTTACCATACGTCCGGATTTTCTCGGACCTGTCCTCCATTTTGGTCCTTAAATCTCCGTCTGGGGGGAATGTTCAAATATCTAAAAAATGTATTATCTTCCTAGAGAAGAATTAATATTTTATAAGAGAGTAAATGACATCAGACACGGGATTTCGATTACGAGACTTGTCTTGTTCGTTACGTCATTAGTCCAGTTTTCGTCTTGGACGAGTGTGATCGTGTCCAGCACCATTTTAGCAGTTTTGTGACTAATGTAGCGATATTCACTTACATAGCAAATACTAGTCTATAAACGTCATATATTTATCCAGTTTGACTGATATTCTAATTTAACTAGAATGATTTTCTGGAGGATGTAGATCATACCGATATTTTATAAATTTTTCTGATCAAATCTATTAACATTAGATATTATCAACTCTGGTATGAAATTATGCGCCAAATGTTCAGTCAGTGACTCAGTGTCTTTTCAGACGATACTGTGTACAGAGGCATTCCTTTCAAAGTTGTTTATTTTATTTCTCAATTTTAATCCTCAAGCACAATGCCAAAACGAAAGTGGAAATTCACGGCAGAACTGAAAAGTAAATTCCCATGTTTTCGAAGTGGCAGAGAAGATTGAGAAGCTGAGTGTTTGGTATGTAAACCTGGTACTTGCGTCTCGGTGGCAAATAAAGGCGTTCTTGACTTGCAAACTCATTTGGACTCAGATAAGCACAAAAAAAAAAAGTTCGAGGAGAGAGTTCATCAATTCAATTTCAATTGTTTATTCCTTGATAGAGGAAGCGGGATCCTAGTGCTGTCACTAGGTACCCCTGAGAGAGAGTTCATCGACGAAAATACTGTTTCCTACCTGTCTCCACCTTATTATAGTAATGCAATCAATACCCAAGAAAGATAGCAAGGTATGATAGCTTTCCCAATATCGGGAATAAAGACGTATACAATATGTTAATGACATGGACTAAACCAGCAGTTGAAGAAAAGTATCCGCTGTTTAAATGGTTTTTTATTGGGGAAAATATTACATGTAGATAAATGGATCCTCACCAGAGAGGCTTCATATATAAGTATATTCATGAAACTCTACCAAGAAATCAGAGACTAAAAATGTTAAACAGAAAACAAGGTGATAGTTGTGTAAGATGTGGTGAGGTAGAATACCCATTACATGTATTTTACTTCTGCTTCCATAACAGAGAGATTATTAAATGATTTAAAAATTTCCTAAATACAGTCTGCAATGTCAATAGTAAATTATTCCTGCACCTTTTAATGTTTAATATTAACTGTAGTAATAATAATTATAAGAATACAATGCTAATTTCAGATTATATTTACTGTACGTAGTTAAGTAGGAAGGAAAATTAAAATGTTAAGGAGACTATAGCCTTTATTAAAGGCAGGATTTATTATAATAAATGAAAAGTCATCCAAATATTTCACGGACAAATATAGTAATGTGTAATATTTATGTATATATGTAAATTGTAAAATTTTAAATAAACTATATAAAAAATATCAAGTGCACATGGCTTCAAACTGGCCTGAAAATGTCCATCATTTTGGTCAAATTTAAAAAAAAATCCAGGAGAGGTGGGCTGCAAGCCACCCCCCTCCACCCCCCCGGCGCGCTGGGTAGGCTTGCATGTCCCCACCCACAACTTCCTGGACCTCCTTTTGATATTCCTGGACCCGCCCCTGCTCTCTGTTGTATTCTCATGATGATGTAATATACTACCAAAAGTCAGCCTTTGTTAAGGTTATATGAGAGGTATGTACAATAACTAATAAACTGTACACTTATTAAATGGTGAGTTTATCTCCCATTACATAGAATGTGTACCCAATATGCTGTAAAGTTAATGGTGTTTAATCTTCTTGAAACAAATAATGCCGCGAATCATTTAATATAAACCCATCGTCTGTTCATTGTGTCAATGTCAAATAGCCCCGCCTCCTTTCTCTTGCCTTGGCTTGTAATTGGCTAACCTGTCATCCTTGCTGGTGGCACATTCAGTCAGAGGTTCCCCATACTCGGGGTCCTTTGTACAGTATATAATGCACACCAGAAAAAAATAATTTAAAGAAAATTTGTGGAAAGATTAATATCATGATCCTTAACACGAAAATGGAAGTTGGGTGAGGTTAAGTAAGTTAGGTAAGGTTAGATCAGGTTCTGTTAGGTTCTATGCACTATCGCTACCATTTTCGTGTTCAGGGTCATGTTATTAGTCTCTTCATAAATTTTTGTTTAATGTCACCTGTACATTACAGCTTGTATTCTTATTTAACTAATATATGTCTCTGGCAAAAGCATTCACCTTCGCCCATATTCACATTAATGATCACGTCAAGCATACATCCCCGGTTTTCCCCGCCTTCAGTCACAACAAATTGTACGTCAATGCGCTTGTGTGATATTTGATTCCTTCAATTATAAAGTTCTGTTAAAGGCTATCATTTAGTACATTACAGTGGAGTACACTGTAGTAATCGTAGGGAGGTGGACAATCGCCTGTGGGTGTACCGAACAAGCAAGCACTTATGGCTATTAACAATTCGAAGTTGCAATTATATTCACAAATATTTTGTAATGGAAAGGGATAGAAATAATACTTGTCACGGCGCCGGAAATCCTCAGTAACCCCCTCCCCCCCACGTATGCTTTGTTCAACTATATGTGTTGCAACACTGTTAACAACAGATTCAGATTTGCCCCCGAGGGGGCTAGTTTATTGGGCACCCCCTTACATCCTGTGCAAGGTGAAGCGCAGAAGCGTTTACAGCGCCCAACAGGGAAGTATGAAAAGTTTATACTTGCCTTTATGACTCGTACATTAAGGGCGTAAAAGCCTGAAGGGTCATAGGTTCTGTCAAGTTACATAAAGTGAGAGAATGATGAGTGTGTGGGGGGAAAGTTCCCGGTACATTTTATCTGTTTATGGCAAAGAGTGGCAGGTCCCTAATAATGTCAAATGGCAGGCCTGTGACTAGGAGGAGGGATATCTGGTCTGGGAGGGAAGAGGTGTTGGTAACGGCTGGGGACCTATAGGAGGAGGTCATAGGGACTGTTAACAACGTCTTCAGGAAAAGCTTTTAGTACATATCTACCAGACGTACGAGTTTGAGACAAACATTAAATGTATTATGCATTATTTGCAAACGGAAATATGCTCTTGACATTATCAAATACTAAATAAGTTCCCGTTTATTTGACTATATTGAACCTGTTAGAGGATTATACAAGATAAGTGATGAAGGGATATGTACAACATGTTCCCTGAAAACCCAACAACGCGTCAGACAGTCAGTTTTCATTGGTGAGTGTTGGTGAGAAGAGTGTGGATATCGATCTCTAGACTTCCCTTGACTCGTTCTTAGAGAAAAAAAAGTCCAAGAGCTTTAAAATAATAAAGAATAATGGCGGGAGCTATTATTGAGAACTTAAGTGGACGGAAGTTAGGAGTTTTAATCGTCTTCTTAATGATCTGCCAGGTGGTGTGCTTCCTGGTCGGTGCATTGATCGGTAGGTGGAAACTTGTGGCCCCTATAACAAAGACATCACCGACACCACCTTAACATTTTTACCTTATTTTACCACAAGTTTACACTGTCATGCCTTTGTAGTCTACCATATGAAGCCCTGTACATATTTCTCTTGTTTAGGCGATATATGATATTAGTTTTACGTCTTAGTTGAGGTAAATTTGGTGGTAGTTGATGTAGCTCTAAACCTTGTGGCCTGTTTTGATGCCTTCATAGTGCCAATGGTAGTTAATTTTGTATTTATAAGGTTCAGCTTTGTCCTAATGCATTTTGGTCGACTGTGATGTTGTTTGGGTTTAGAATTTCAGACTGGCAGGACTTGGGGTCTGTATTAGTGATCACTGTATTGAGGTTCCTTCTCTTTTACATGCATATCCCACAGTTTATTTGTATACTAGGTCTGCTTAACATACCAAGAATTTGTTAGATGTTGACAGGGTATTATTTTAGTTTCGGTCATCTGGGGAATGTTAGGTTGGTTAGGTTAGTTTATATATCTTAATTATCTCTACATGGATGATCGAAACTAAAATTTTACCGTTCACAGCAGGTCTTAACACTTTCAGGATAAATTTTGATAGTACTTTACTTTCATTATCAAGTTTGTTTTAATGAATATAATGTAAATTTGGTGGGGGAAGCTTGAAGAAAAAAGTATATGAAAATTACTTCTTTAATCAGATCAGGACAGTCTGGGAACTGATTCCTACATGGTAAAAGATTAACACCAACCAACGAAATTTGACTGAACCAGATAGAATTTAACTAAATTGTATTCTAAGATTACCTTGTATGTCAAAATCGGTGTTTTAGGCCCATAAATTTAGTTTTTTACTCGGTTATCAGTGTCCATGTTGTTGGAGATTGTACTGACCAATAAGTACAGTACTGTACCAGTAACCAACCGCATCTAACCCACAACCTAACAAGTCTTAAAGAGTAGTTTTGGTTAGATTCAGTTTGATCGAGTTCAGTTTTCCGCTTTGTGAGCGGGGCAAGGGTGGAGGAGACAGTACCAGAATGCATTTATATTATGGTATTGTTCATATTTTGTACAGTGCAGTTAATATTCATTAATGGCTGCTGCAAGATTTTCGTATTTGGCTATTTTAGGATTATTAAAAAAAATTATGAATACAGTTAACCCTCACTTTACGCGGTTAATGTAACCCGGAGGGTCCCGCGTAAAGTGAGAAACGCGTAAAGTGAATAACATAACATATGGGATTAATTGAAATGGAGTCCGGGCCGATCCCCAAACTCCACTTTTTGACGACACACAACTATGTTGTAGTAAAAATATTATCTTAACTTTATGATGGTATGCACACACAATTAATAATTAAGAGAAATATCAATAATATTAGGTTTTTTAACACTTACATTAGTAGAAAAAATGGCTGGGCACACGGGGATGGGCGGTTGGTTCCGAGGCAGAGGGCAGATTATTGGCCCTCACCTGTGTCACTTGTATCAATTGTATCACTATCCACCACAGAGGCTTGCAGGGCCTCTTTGTCAAACTCCCCAAAGTCCATATAAGTCCATATCCTCACCATAATTATCACTGTCACTGACTTGGGCCGGCTGTGGTGGGTGAAGAACTGGTACTGTTTTGATGACTGGGCGACCTTGTGCGCACCATGTTCGCGCCGCTTACACAACATGGCGGATGGCGGGAGGTTTGGATCCAAAAATGGCGCGGCTCGCTAGCCGCTCTCCGCGTAAAGGGGTACACGCACCGCGGAATGTGAGCATCCTGGGTTCCGGCAGGGCACCGCGTAAACGTGGAATGTGGGACCGCGTAAAGTGAGGGTTAACTGTATATTTCTTTCCTTGGGTAAATTAGGTTAGGTAGTTGTTAACACTGCGTGTACCATATTAATTTGTTTTCCTCGCTGGGTTTTGTGTTGTTGTGGTAGATCTTTTGTTTTATAACTCGGTGGTGATGAATAATTCGGATCACATGAAGATAGGCAACCCGACCTATTTTACTTTAAGATTAACCACCCTAAACCTAACCTAACATTCACAGGTGCGGTGTTTTAATTTGAAGGCGTAATAAGCTGGAGTGCCTAATATTCACGATCTGAGCCCCTTTTACGTTTTACACACACACACGAGCGTGCTAGTACTGTACTATAAACATATCACATTTAACACTTGCACAAGTAATATCATTTTAACACAAACACTTAAGTAATTATTTCTCCCTTTGGTGAACACCCACTGACACATAAGTATGTTATGATTTTAGGCTCAACACACACATATCATGTGAAATTCTTAACACCTCTATTGTCACTAAAAATATCAAGCTTAGATATATTTTGAAGAAAAAAGTGTTTCTCAGACATCGCCGTGCTCTAAAAAAAACCCGCAGCACACTTGGTATTATTGCTTTCAGAAAATACATCTTAATTCGCATTTACCATAAAATTTTAATTTCCCTCATTTACAGTAATTTTTGGTCGGGTTTGAAATACAATTATTCAGTACCGGTACATAATGACGTGTTTTGGAACAGTCGTATTGAACCGTATTTTTAGAAAAGTTTCATCTATTTAATAATTATGCAGGCGACACATTAGACGGAGGGCAAAGAATTTTCATAGTACCTGTATATCCAGTCATGTAAATTCAAATTACTTCGAATATTTTTAGTTTACCAAATGAGAAAAAATACTTAAAGGGGTGTACCCAGTATGCTTCGTTTATAAAAGAATTTTAATCCCGACCTTCCGGGTTCCTTTTCAAAATCAGTTTTCTTAGAACCAAACTTTTCACACGCGCGCACACATACACTTCAGTAATCATTTCACACTTGACACTCACACCCATTTTAAATTAAAACAATAATTTTTTTTTCATCCAATGGCGTTTGTCTTTTCATGTACGAAAAACAAACAAAAAAGTGGCTTGAATAGGCTAGCCTGGTAGTCGACAAAACCGGGACGGCTGCAGACAGCCAGGCTATTCAGCCGTGAACTCATAAGCATATTAACGACTGTATATCTGTAACTAGACCCATGTGGCACTGAATTAGCAGAACCTGCCTGTTGACTTTGTAATTACTACATTGAATCAGGAGTGCTTGAGGATATTCTTGCTGTTTATCCAAAATTTGCTAGCCCACACTGATTGGTCTTCAATTAGAATATGACGTCCAATGTATATGAACCACTGTCCTGCATGGCAGTGAACAGTGACATCACCCACATGACTCTGACCTATATATACTGTTAATGAATAAGATCTATTCCTTTGTGTATGAACTAACTAAAGTTGAGGTTATGATACAAATCAAATTTTTTATAGTCGCGTTTGTGTGTAGGTAGTTGTGTTTTCTTCTGCAGTTACTGAAATGTAATCCTACACCCTCTGTGGTAACCCGTGTCTCCAAACGGCCAAATTTTATGACCTGTAGCAAACCTATCCACCAATCACGCTCGTCGTTACACGACCAATACACATTCATTCATAAAATTAACTGATACTACTACTGCGACGGTGCCGTTTGGAGACACGTAGATTACCACAGGGGATGTAGGAACACATTTCTGCGACTGTGCATATTTTGTTTGTTGTGGTACCTGATAGTTCATGTATTTTTTTAGTTGATATAGCTTAGACCTCTCAAAGTGCGAAGTCAGGTCATGTGGCGCCGACCCACCGCCAACAGTGACCAGCGCCTGTACCCTACGCTTAAAAGCTTTCGGAACGAAATCTTTGTTTATATCGTGTGTACCAACACAAGCAAACACACGCAACTATAAAAAATAAAATTGTATCGTAACACGTCTGTAGGCAGGTTCTGCTAATTCGGGGCCACAAGGGTAGACTACCAGGCTATGCAACCGGTGACGGCTGAATAGCCAGTGCGAAAAAAATGCGATTCACTTTTCAAAAATGCCATAATCAGGAAGTGCCATGTACAGTTTGTCACAATGATGCATAGGATTTTTTTTATATATATATATTCAAAGACGTGCTGGGAGCTGACAACTAAAAAATCCTTCAGCAGGGGGAAGGGTAGGCAGAGGTTACCCTATGTACGGTAATCTCAGTAATTAATTTTAATGTTTAATAATTTAATAAAGTTGAAATGCTTGTTTGGAATTACCGTCCGTTTTTAATTGTGAGAGAGAGAGAGAGAGAGAGAACATGTATACAAAGCAGTGTGTGGGAGGGGGATGTTTACATTGCTGGCGGTACAGTATAAACAAAAACGTCCGGTGTCTTCTTGCCTCAACTAGTACCCGGATAACAGGTATATAGGTATATACATACAGTATCAAGGAGCAATACTTATGATTGGTTGATTAATTCAGGCATTGTGACAAAAAATAAAGCATATTTTTGCTACTATAAAATAAATCTTAAAAATATCACTGATCAGTTGACAAGACACATCCTGTGATCTCCAAGACGTATATCTATTTCACTTGAGGGCGTACATGTATAAATAGTATACCAGCCTGCTTACGTACTCTGCATATGTATAACAATTTAATAAATTGGGTAGTAGGCAGCTACCAAACGGAGGTACTACCGCCTGGGAAGATATTGGAAGCATAATGGTGGACCCTGCTGCCATATGGCATCGCGGAAATTGTAACCAAGTCCCAGGTTGCTGATCTGACTTTCTGCCTCATTTACACACAATTGCAGGGTCTCAATTGTTTCTCTTACCATTGACAACACAACCTCGGGACCTGACCGGTGCCGGACCATGGAAATTCACCCTTTTCCTGGATAGATAGTGACTTGTGCTTATGCTTGGAAGCACTCGCACCACTTTCTCTGCATCATGGTCTCTTTGATGACATATTGAAGGGTTAAATGTCGTATAGTAGCTTCTCAAATTTCGCGAGTTTTTAATTCTTAACGCATTTTATTGGAACACCAAAAAAATAAATAACTAAAAATTTTGACGGCGGAAACTTGAATTTTGACGGGTTTGAACTGCACGCCAATGTGCAGACAACGTGCATAATCGTGTAAACAGCGTCATTTCTCTTATGTACAAAAGATTCATTATTGTTTATTACTGAATGTCTTTTTTATTGAATTAATGTCTGTGTGCAAAATGAGCAATACAATTCATTAATAATACGTAGAATATTAAAACACACGAGGAAATGACACAGCATTGTTTTCGTTGATTACAAAACCAGTGACTGACTGGTTCTACATATAAAACTGAAGAAAATAAGACCTTGGTTGTAGCTGTAGTAAAATTAATATGGTTGTTTTAAGTACAGGTAGTTCTGCTATAACGCGACAATTGTGTTCTTGTAAAATATCGTGTTATAGAAAATCGCGTAATAGAAATAACAGGGCTTATGGAGAAAATAGGGTTAGGTGCAGATTACTCGAAATCGAAAAAATTTAGTAGTTAGCCTAACACAAAGGATAGCACAGTCTAAATAAATGTTACATTCATATCTAATAATGAAATCATACAGTAAATGTAACACTTTATTTGATGGGGGAGCTTCTCTTCAAATGTTATATCCTTTCTTTTACGATCATCACCGGGAATTCTATCACCAGAACGCTTCTTGTTGATATTCTTCTTTACTATATTCACAGTTAATTACCACAAAATTGGAGAAATAGTAAGCAAAAATCGCGTTATAGCAAACAAGCGTTCGCGTTATACAAATATCGTTCCTAATTCATAAATCGCGTTAGAGCAAATTCGCGTTATTAAAACACGTGTTATAGCAGAACTCACTGTAATGTTATTTAATGTTAATAAATGGAACAATAGAAGTAGCTAACGATAATGGTAAAGAAAAAAGAGATCGCATATGTAAGTGCGCATGCGCACATGTGAAAACATATCGTCATTACTTTACATAAGAATTTGAAAGCAACACTTATTTACTGTTCTTATATATTTTAATTAATGTTTCTGAATTTGTTTTTATTGAATTAATGTTTGTGTGTGCAAAATTAACAATACAATTTATTAATAATAAGTGGAATATTAAAACACACGAGGACGAGACGGCTGCCGGCTTTGTTTATGTTAAAGCTTACAAAACCAGTGACTGATTGGTTCTACATATAAAACTGAAGAAAATAAGACCCTGATTGTAGCTGCAGTAAAATTAATGTAAAAAAATTAATATGGTTGCTTGAAGTACCTGTAATGTTATTTAATGTTAATAAATGGAACAATATAAGTAGCTAACCATTAATGGTAAAAAAAAAGTGAGACTGCGCGTATGTAAGTGCGCACATGTGAAAACATATCGTCATTACTCTACATAAGAATATGAAAGCAACACTTATTTACTGCTCATATATATTGAAGGGTTAAATGTTGTACTCTGTATAGACAAGCAGAGAGAGAGCGCAGCCGAACTGCCGGATGTAAACAAACCTTAATTTCCCGCGGCTTTGTTGTTTTTTTTTTTACAGGGATTAGCCCTCCCGGGCATAGGTCACTGACCCACATTGGGGCCTGAGGGGCAAAAATTTAATACTCCTGGAATAATAATAATTCAGAAAAAAAAAGAAAAGCTGCCTATCTACCTATTGGACAAACTAAAGTCGTTCCGGACCATGGGAGTTTCCGGACCACAGAATGCCAGACTAGAGAGGTACAACCTGTAGTAGCACTTACCTTAATCTTGTCTGGGTAGTACGCATCGTTGTGGGGGTTAGGCCAAGCATAGCGGCTATGTCCACAGCCCGTTTCCCTTTTTCAAATTGGCTTAATATATCCATTTTCGTAGCAAGGGTAATGGTCTTACGTTGCCTCTTCACTGCACTAGCACCAGTAGCACTTGATGGGCGCTTGGAAGCTATTTCGAATGGTTACAGAACAGTTTTAGAGCAAAAGCACTTAAGCACACACGAATTGTGTGAAGTCGTACAGAGACTGGCTTGGGGGCGCTGTGACGTTCTGCGAGTGAGGAGAGAGCACACCGAGCCGAGAGAGCGTAGTGCGGCCAGACAAGAGCGGGTGATGCACCATAGAAAGTAGTCCGTGACGACGTAAAACGACGTACAGTAGTATCGGATCTTCGGGACGTTAAACGAATTTTTGGTCTCTAAAGTTTAGCGACGTAGTGCCGAAACAATGTTAAGCGGGCCGACATTATAAGAGGATACACTGTAGTTGTAAAATATCTAGTGCTCTTCAGCTCGTAATTTTGAAATAGAATACAGGCATCCCCCGCGTTACGGAAGCCCGGGTTACGGAATTTCGCTCTTTCGGAATTTGTAAATTATGACCATTAATTTCGCGTTACGGCCAGTAAATCCGCCCTTACGTAAATTGGGGTAAATTTTAACAAACACAAGGCCTCACACATGCCATTCAGACTGACAGACTTGACAAGTTTTACCAACCATAAAGACAGTTGAAGCTTTAAACATCACTCACAATGGATCTTGAATATTCCAACTGCAATCAGACATACCTAAGTTGCCTCAACAATTACAACCCCAGTTGCAATATCAAATTCTGTGTCACTACTAAAAAATAACAAAGTATCTGGTGTACTCTAAGGTTAAGAGAAAACGGATGACTCAGGAGTGCTGAAATGAGAGAAAACGGACTCCTATGATGGGGAACTCAAATAAACATACACATAGCTGTATAATGCAATATTAACCCCTAAATTGGTGTTTTAAGAAGGTATATCATAAATTATTTAATGTACTGTATTGTATGTGTTTATAAATGTTTATTTTCATTAATAAAAGTGCTTGAATTACTTTTTTGGGGCCAAAACAATTCCTTAAGAATGCTTCTCCAGTTTTGTAATGGAAGTCAATGGGTAAATAGGTTCCGCGTTACGGAATTTCGCGATATGGTCAATTTTCCGGGAACGGAACCCTTCCGTAACGCGGGGTATGCCTGTACCTGTATTATAATTTAGATTTTTTTGGAACTGAAAAAAAATTTCAATTAATTAATCACTGTATGTACTCGTATATAGCAGTAAAGTACACTTACTTTGAGGTGTGTATGTAGAAGGTTCCTGGTTGATGATGATGATGGGAATTAGAAGTTGGGGTGGAGGAGAAGGGAGAAGAGAAGAAAGTGGGGATGGAGGAGATATCACCTTTCAGGGGACCCAAGCTTGATGCAGTCATTTCACCAATAAAATTTTAAGTTCACTAAGTGTAATTCAAGATTATTTTATTTAAATCAACACTGCAATGCACTTTATATTATCAATATGTTAACTAAATTTCAGAATGACCAATAATTTCAATGTAAAAATGCAAAAATATCTGTATTCAAGACACCAACAAAATCGATGTTCACTCTACTGTTAACAAAGCCAAACTGACGCCTGGTGGCCGAGTCAAGCGGCTGATGGGCGCACAAAAAGCTAGTTCTCCGTACCGCATATATTATCAAAATGTTAACTAAATTTTAAAATTGCTAATAATTTTAATATAAAAAATGCAAAAATATTAAAGAGCATAACTTTCTTGATAATTACTCCACTGGAAACGAATGTAAACATAGAACAGATTACTGAATTGGCAGACTAGCCCATCAGCTGATCACCTGATGCTCACAACAAAACGTGTTGTTTGTAAGGATTTCGTTAATCGAAGTTTTGCTTGTTAACCAAATTGAAGATCCTTATGGGAGGTGATTCGTTAATCGAACCGCTCGTTAACCGAGGGACCACTTTACTATAATTTTATACAGTACTGCACTGACCTTATGATACCTCTCACAGGGTTTGCTTTTTGAATCAGTTGCCAGCCAAATTGACTGATTCATCTAAAGCTTTTGCTGATTCAGAATACTCCTGAGCAAAGTACAGAAATCGTAATTTAGGTCACGGTATACAGCAGTTTTTTCTGTTTGTGTAGTAACAAGGTTTAAGCCATATCCTCCTTGGTCACCATAAGGTTTAAGCCATGGCCTCCTTGGTCACTACTCTATAAATCCTCATGGGTCATCTGCCTAAACATTCACTATATCCATATGGTATATCATTACCTTTTTGTGTTGATAACAATCACATTGAATACAGTACAGTAGTTAGAATAACTTTTAGGACTTCTGAACTGTTTTCTTTTCTCACTGTGTGTGTCCACAGCTCCAGCTCCATCATCGGTCATGTCCACCCTGGGGACCAAGTGTATCGACAAGGAGTACAAGAAGGACAAATGGTACTGGACCCGTGGCAAAGGCAAATGTGTGAGCATCATTCATCTCCAAGACCCAGCAGTTCATGAACAACAGATTAATGCCAACAACATAATCTTCACCTTCCAGGTTTGTCATTCATATTTTAGGCTTACTGTATGCAGTAGTCTTCACACTTTCTTTGACCTCTGAGGTGAATAGTTGTTTCTCTTGAAAAGCTAAAGATCCTACAAGCATGCAGTAGTCTCATTCATGTCAATAACAAAAATGCTTGAAATCCCCACTAATACTATATGGAGTTAACACTGTTTACTAAACACTGTACAGTATGTATATTTTTAATGATATAGTAAAAAAAATAGAACAATTGTGAGAGATTAGTGGAAAGTGGAAGAATGAAGGTAATTATTTATAGAAAATGTGTACTGTACAGAACTGTATTAGACTACTGTACACCATTCAATGCAATATTTTATTTCTTCACTTTATAACACAACAATCATTTGCATCATACAATAATTCATCGTGGGAGCATCACTTACCCATTGTTTGTGGTAATGGGTTTTACAGGCGATCGTTATATGTACAAAAACACCAAGAAGTGAACGTTCTTGAAAATATATTTTATTCTTATAAAATGAAACATACAGTATAAATGCTTAGAATGTAAAGTGAAGATTTAAATAACTTAAGTATCTTTGTTTTGTCGTGGTGGAATTGAGGTCAGCTCCTGCTGGTGCCGACCACCTGGTAGAGGAGGAAGACCAGTCTGTTTTTTTATATTATTTCCTATTGCTTATTTACATTATATTGAGTGTGGGGAGGTGCAAGGAGGCTGACTATAATACACTGCATAAGATACTAAATATAGGAAAAAGCTTGGCACAAAACTTTGAAATAGGCTGCGAAAATGCAGGCCTTACACAAGGCAGGTCATAGCCGCCCTTGTAACCTTGCTTGTTGCATGTTTTAGAACTAAAGATTAAGAAACTATATCACTTGATTTTGCCTTATGCAGTAATTATTCTTTATTCTGGTATCTAATGTAATAATCAGAGATTACTGTACAGTATTCCAAGGAAGGTAGTGGAGTTTCACATTGAAGCTGAGAAAGCCATTTTACACCTTCATCTGTCACTCCTGACCGTCACATTAGATTTAAAAGTAATAGCTACTGAACTCTTCTTCAGATCTTCACAGGCCTTGCTTGCCTTAGGCTTAGTTATCCCTATGTTAACATAAGGAAACATTTAGAAAGCTTGCTGCATATACTACATGAAATAAATTTTGTATTCTTGTACAGTACGCCCGGATAATTCACAGATCTTTATTTCGCGGTCCTCTATTATTCGTGGATGTCACCCTGGATGTACCCAAGAATGTCAGAGGGTACTTTTAAAGTTGCCGGCATTTACACGGCCAGGACAGGGAGCCATTCGTTCTAGAGAAAATAATTTCATTTACCTGTATTGTATATATATATATATGTGTGTGTGTGTAGACTCACACACACACACAAAACACACAAATAAATAATTATGGGAAAATCCTCTCACAAATAATCACATTTTTAATAAATTTGTTTCTGATTATTTGTGAGAGGATTTTCCCATTATTATTTATTTGTGAGTATGTGTCTACACACACATATACTGTATACAATACAGGTAAAAGAAATAATTGTCCTAAGGCCAAACACATGAAGGGAATATATATTTCTTTGTACACAAGTAAAAATGACCCTGGGTGGGGGGGGGGGGTGTCAGCCAATGTTATTCGCGGATTTGGCGAATCGCGGCCATTTTGAGAACCTAGCCCCAGCGAGCTTGAAGGGCCCCCTATATAGGCAAAAAACTCTGCTTTGAAAACTGATATTTGATATCTGGCAAGCAAGCTGTTCATGGGTAGATGTGGGTAGATCTGCCACCCCCACATTGTACAGTCTGGGTACCAGTACAGTATATAAATGTCATCAGGGACCAACTCTAATCCTAAGACATTGTATGGAAATGTGCAACATATATCTACTGTATATATTGTACTGTACTGTACAGTACTCTACTGTAGCTTGAAAGTTTGGGATGGTAAAGGTAATGCAGAGCTTGCATTACCATTGGGTTCCTATCCTCACTTTAATCCATTTTTGTAATAAGGGTGATGTTTTTGCTTTTGTGTCCTAAACAAATTTTAGATATGAAAATTTTGCTGATTTACTGTATTAAGATGTAGCCACATTTGGTATTACTGTATACTAACACTTCATAAACTTTCAGATACCATCCCCCAAGGACAAAGTTATTCTTGATTATTCACGCTGGCATCAGAACCTGATAGCTATGATGCACCTTGACATCCTCTATGATGAGAATGCACGGTTTGGTGAGTACTGTTATATACTGTGTGGCCCATTAGTTTGATCTAGAGGTATTTCATAAAAATAGTTGATATTCCGGAACTTCTTCTACCTGGTTGGCCTGGCAGAGTCAGAAGGTTGAGAGCAATCACACAGCAACATTTATAGCCTACCAGCAATGGGATGCCCTCAGAGGTTATATAAACTTGTGTTTTCTTTGAATGTTGTCAGCCACTGTGTTGGTTTAGCCAGCATGGGGGTGGCAATAAGAACAGACAATCAAAGTAAGCCCTTTATCCTTTCAAGGGCTCCTGAGGTCTCAAAACTGTGGCCTTTTCAGCTCTTCACACAGCCTACTAGCTCTTCCAAAACCACAGTGACAGTAATGCCTACATGGTTGATTGGCAGCAACAACACCCTGGCCTTGTGGGGGTCTACAGCCGAGGTCCCTCCCCCCCCCCTCATTTGCCTAGTCCCCAGAGCCACTTGAGGATGCTCGCTCTACCCAATAGCTGCGATAAATGTGAAAAATTTTCTTGGAGAAGATGAGGTAACCGTACAATTCCTCCGAGGTAGGAACTGTAACTTTGTTAAGTGTCTGAATCAAGAGACCCATGACACTCTCAGCAGACTGAGCACAGAGGTGTTTGAAGGTGTTATTCTCAAGTCATCACCAGCTGATGCAGCTGAATGTTGCCACATTGTGTTTAAGCAATTTCCAGTGATGACTGACATCAGCAACGCTAGGGAACTAACCCAAACATTATCAGTATCTGTCGCCACCATCGTGGCAACACTCCACAAGTTGCTGTCATTATCAAACATGGGGAAGGAGTGTCCAGCTGAGCTGGTATTTCTCAAGACCTGTCCTCTGTGTTATCTGTTCACACCAGGGACACCAAGACTGCCTATTACCAATATGATTTACCCACGGTGCAGGTCTTGCTAAGTCAGCACCTGCTGCTCCCCCATCTTGGCCACAGCTAGATGTCACCAGTTGCTTGTACAGTATTGTCCAAGTGTGCCTTCCTCCACCCCCACTGTGCCCATCCTGCCATGTCACATCTCTTCCTGACCAAATGTCTCTCCACCTAGTGACAGTCCTGGCACAGTACAGTATTATATTAGAGATCTACCACACTGCCATAAACAGATGGCAGGGAATCCTCCTTATATACTCAACTCTTACTTCACCACATGTAATTTACCAACAAAATTAATGGCCCCCTCAGGCACTCTCGTCCACCCATCATATAAGTCTAAGAAGGCAAGCATGAACTCTGTGTGCTTCCCTGTTGGGTACTTTAATACTTATATGCTTTGCCTTACACAGGATATTAGGGGGTGCCTAATGAACAAGTCTCTGCACTGTCTGGGGGCAAATCTGAATTCTGAAAGTTGTCATTTATTAATTATGAATAAGGTTCTGCTGATGAGGGAAAAAAATTAGTCAAAACATAGTGCACTTGTTTTTCTGTGCTTTTCTCCTACAGTGAGATTTTCGTTTTATGCATGAAGTACAGTGTATTACATATTTTCTACATACCGGTATACAGTATATATTTAGTATATCCCTTGAGATATGAACGTTCGTGATACAAAAATTCATTTATACGTATTCCAAAATTGACACCATTGCGCTTATATTTTGTGTTACGAAAGCTTTCCTCGCCTAAATGAATTTAGGTTCCAGCAAAAATGCAAATTGAGTTCCTCCGGGAGTCAGCTGGAGCAGCCACATCCCTCTAGCACGCTCTATCTATCAGGCTGAGGTTGGAGTTATGCTATAGTAGTTATTTTTATCCTAGTAATTTCTGGTATATAAACATAGTAATTTTCTTTGTATTTTTTTTCTTTCAGTTACATTCACACATAATCCTGCATACAGAATGTGCAAAAAAAATTGTCATAAGGTAAAAAACATAAAGGGAATAAACATTTCTTCATGCACCAGCGACAGTTAACAGGATTAGCTGAGAGAATTAATGTTATGATTATTTTTCAACTCGTAGTTTCATCAAGATAAACATGGTACCGGGTAACCTTTTTCATTTTTTTTTAATACGTTATATGAACGCACAATCCTACATACATAATGTGCAAAAAGGTAAAAGAAATAACTATAATAAGGTCAAAAACTTGAAAGGAATATACACTTCTTTGACTTAATTAATAATTTTAGTCATAATTTCATCTAGATAGTACAGTACTTTATTAATGTTTTTAGTGTTAGGTAGTAAATTACAGTAGCTGTGTAATTTACTATTTATCATTAGTTAGGTAGATATTTTTCCTGTTTGTGAACCAATTTCGTGTTTCTGGGGTATGATATTGGGATGTTTTTGTCATTGGGGAACCGGACCCTATTTTTCCTGTACGTGTTTCTATAGAGACACGAAAAATCACCTAACAAATGCTTATTTTTTTTTTCCTCGTGATAGCTGTTTTGTTATCACACTAATGTGTGGCATTTTCTGTTTATTGCTGAGCAATTAAATTATAATTCTCTCAAGGAAAGTGTTGTGAATGACACCTTGAGGTAACACTTCAGTGTGAACTTCCTGTTTCGTGAGAAAGAATGGACTGGTCTTCTCAGGGCAGTGAGAGAGTGTGATAGCGAGCGAGCATTGTTTACTGAATTGGCTGACCCTGGCTCATCCTTTGAGAGAAATGCAAGCCAAGTTACAGTATCTAGAGTCATGAATAACTTGGTGTTATTCATTTGGGTGAATATTTATATAAAGCTAAGGTGCTGTTACAACCTATTTGTATCTCTAGGTTGATATATATACAGTATATATATATATATATATATATATATATATATATATATATATATATATATATATATATATATATATATATATATATATATATATATATATATATATATATGAAATTATTAATTGCAATACAGTACAGTACTGTATTAATAAATTAAATACTTCTACAGCACTTGGTTTACTTTTCAAGGTACCTGTAGTTGGCAGACACAAATCAACCAAAATTCTATACTATGTCTGACGTTCGTCTTGAATACCCACAAAATGTTCTATACTACTGAGGGTATACACAAACACTTGTTATCTTAAAAGTAGGTTCTATTCTCGTACGGGAGATACATATATATACAGAGGGGCCCAGGAGCTCGCTTCCACACCACAAAGACTCTGTCTTCACTCTCTCTCTATCTATGTATTACTGCACGCTGGGATGTACAGATGCCAGCATTCACAAGCTGAATACATACAATGTAAATATGATAATTTATATACATAATATGGTGCACAATAAATGGAATATTACATAGAATTGATACATGTTCTGTAATACTTTACTGTACATAATTAATGGAGTGATATAAGAGTAATATAATAATACACAGCTGAAGGTACTACTTTGAGTCCGTATCATATACTATGCACTCAGTTTATTGCTAGATTGAGTTTGGTTTGTGTCTATTATTAGTGAATATAAGTACTAGTATGTAGTTTAGAGGCTTTGTTCACAGTATAAACTTTTCCAACACTCAAATGTTATTCCCACCTACACAGACCCCCACGCTCTGATGACACTTGAGGCTCGACTGGGCTACAGAAATAAGTGGGACCCAGAGGATAAGTGGACCGAGTATGCATCATCTGTAGAAGAAAGGCGCCTGGACTGCTCGATAGACCCAATGCACAAGAAGGAAGAATATATGTATAATTGTTCTTCTGTGCCACTGTTTGAACTGGGGTCTCTCCACCATGATTTTTACCTCTTGAATGTTCGCTTACCTGTTCACACCCTGGAGGAGCCACAGGAGAAGAACATTAATGAAGATCTGGGATACTTGGCAGACATGTGGGTGGCGGTGAGTTATCTTATAGCTTTTTTTTCCTCCGTTGAGAAAACTTTGTTGGATTTTTGCTTATGTCTTTAGAAATAAATGTGTTGTTCTATATCTTTTTTAACACTATCCATACATTTTAACACTTTTGGGATCATACACGCATGAGTGCTGTTTTGATTTGATATAAATGAACCTTTTGGTCGAATTACTTAAAATTTTAATGCCACTTTTGTCACGCCACTCTTGTGCAGAACCAAGTCTTAAGGCTAGGTGGCAATTCATCTATGTGCTGTAGACCACGAGGTAACAGACAACTAATGGCAGTAATGCTTCTGCCTCAGTAAGCAGCGAGTGTCTCGGTCGCTGGCACGATTTAAAAGTGGTCACTCACAATATCTTGAGAGAGCAGCACAAATGCCACTTTTGCCCCGCTATCTCAAGACATTTATCTCTTACAACCTCGATACTTATTCTTATGAAGTAATAGTGATGTGTATTGAAATTTTATAATGAAATGAAATATTTTTTAATTTATGAGATGTTGGTGAAATGGCTACTCACAATACAGTCGCATAGGCCACACAAAAGCATGTCATAATAGGACTAGCTTGGAAAAATAATAAGTTACAGCATAGTGAAATGTAGTGCAGTTGAGGCATGCATATGAATAATGTGAATTTTAATGAATGTATTGTGCTTATTTAATATGTACAGTATTCATAATGTCATCGCCATTGTCGTGCATATGCCAGGCTTACCTCATCTGAGTGGTAAGTGGAAATATTATTGCCAAAATTTCAGTTTTTGTCACAAGCTTCCAACTGGTCTATTTCTCTTCCTTAGTATGTGTACAGTAATAATCCGTCATAAAGAAAATACTTTCAAACGATTTCAACAAAAAACTAGCAAGGAAAAAATTTGTATAAACATTTTGGCAACTGTGTGACTAACCACCACTTATTTTAATTTTATTTTGTAATCTATTACTTTTTACATTATCATTTTTTTCTGATTACACCATTGTCTTCCTTATTATTTTTGCTTTCTTGCTTTGTGAAATTTATACTGACTGATGCAATGATGTGGGTACAGCACTAAGAGTAATCGACAGTAAACTCTCACTTATACTTACCAAATGGCTTTTATTTATTTATTTATTTAATTTTTTGAGGGTTTGTGTGATTTCCCAGCTATTTTTTTGTCGGAAGACATCATTTGAATAAATATTTAACAATATCTTAGCCACAAATACGGCCCGGGAAAAAACTTCTCTGCTATTTCTGGTCATTCTGTGGGCTCCAAACAGAGCAAGTGACGGGCTCATTAAATAAATTTCAGGCCATCCCGAGAGTATTAAATACCGGTATATATCTTTTTCCTTGTAAACAAATATTCATCCCCCTGCTTGGTGTAGTTGAATATACTTCAATCTGGGTTTTATTTGAGTAATAAAACTCAAAAAACCATATCAAAGCTCTTTTATAAAACTTTCATACAAATTAACCTAAGGAAAAATATTTGTTTATGACTAAAGAAGGTTACCGTACCATGATTTCAGTATTATTTCCATAGGCAAGTTAGTTGAGAGGGAAAATAGATGGCTTTCTTCTTGTATTCTTATGTTTAAAGCAGACTTTGTTCATAGTCTTCCATCCATAGTTCCCATATAACTGCTTGTTCACCAAGTCTTGACACCCATATGACAATAATCTGTCTTTCCACCTTTGTTCTTGTGTAGCCCTTCACCCATTTATTTCATCCATCTCTTTGTTTCATAAAGTCCTTCACCTCTTATTTGCATTAATTTTTATTTACAGTTCATTCACCAGAATGGAGGATTCACTAAAGTCTGGGTGTCTCTTAAGACAATATTCTTCCCAACCATCGTTGCAATCATGGTCTGGTTCTGGCGTCGGATCTCGCAGCTCTCAAGGCCTCCAGCCCTTTTGGAGTATATGCTCATGATCCTGGGGGCTGCCCTGACCATGCTTAACTGTAAGTTTGACCTAGACCAAAATCTTTCTCCTTGGACCATTGAGTTCCTACCTATACAGTACCCGAGTGTTCTCCTTGCCAGATCAAATGGTCCCTACATATTCCCTGAGAGGTCATGTGTAAACCGAAGGGTCCCCATTTAGGACAGAGTTCTAGTAGAGTCCAAAGATGCCATTGAGAATTATAACTTAGGTATGTAACCAACTGAGGTGGTGCTAACATTTGAGGGGGGAGCTACTGTTATGGAATTACTTTATGCAAGACCACAATATTAATTTTATGGAAACGTGAACTAAAAATTTTTTCTTAAGCTAACCAAAACTTCTATAAGATTATTTGCTTTAATTTGGGTTTTCTGCTTTTAAAAATAATGAATGGTTTGTTTAGAAGTCCTGTTAGTGGTCTATGTCTAGCTCTGATCATAATGGCAAGAGAAAGGATGTAGTTACAGGGACCCTCTGTTTTAACCTCATCTGGTACTTTGATTCAGTTTACATCAGTCATCAGAAAATTATTTATATTCCAACCATATCATTTATCTATACAATTTACCTTACATATGCTCTTAGTTTAAAGGTAAAGAAAATGCAATTAATATCTCTGTTATGCAATAATATTAGTCAGTGTTTTGTATAAGGCTAAGGTAAAAGAATGCACTATTTCATGTTATATGTAGTTAAAAACAAACTGCCAGTTTGCTTCTGCCAGATATTTCTTAATATAGTACTCTACTGTATCTGGTCTTTCTCTTGCACTGTATTTTGGGCTGCTTCTATGTTCACAATTTGTAATAAGTAAACAGATGGTGTTTTTGAAGAAAAAATTTCCATTTTCTGTATGTTTGTATGTGCCTGAGCAGAACACAACTGTTACAGCAATAAGAATGACTAAAATGACAAGTGTATGGAGGGAGAATGTGTATTTATTTGCTTTTGCGTGTGGCCAACATGTATAAGCAAGACAGTAAACAGTGTATATGTGACTATTTAAAGTGTTGTGTGTCCTTGAAGTTGTGTGAACTGCCTATGTGATATATGGGAGAGTTTATTATAACCCATTTGATTTACAGGGAAAGAGAAGTGTGAAACTGCTTTTTTGCTATATGGCAGAGTATAGATACATTACTGTACTGCCAACTTGATACATAGGAATATCTATATACTCCCTACTTGATCTATGGGGAAGTGTATATAGTGCTTACCTGATAAATAGATAAATAGAAAAGAATACTTGACATGTTGGTAATGTTTGTACAATGTGCTCTCTCTAGTTTGCATGCCTCTGGTACTGGCAGTGTAGTGAATGTGAGAATTTTCAATATAGTGACTTAAAAAATGGATACAATGAAACTTGGGCCCATGAACTTAAAATATTAGGTACAGTCAATAAAAACTATTGACCATCCTGTCATGCTTAATAATGTTGAAACATCATAGAAAAAGTGTAAATGTATACCCGTTATTACTGGTGTCAGTTTGGTTGTTATTGCTCATATTCTATTCCATTGACTTTGGGTGCATGACAGGAGATAACAGAAACAGACAACCTTACCTGGTGATCTTAGACTATTTGTAAGTAGTTTTAATTGGTTATATAAAGTTATTTTTGTTTGTGTGTTTTACTGCTAAAGATGTTTTAATGTTGTAGTAATCTAGGGAGTCTGAACCTTGAGATGAACACTACCACTATTTAGTAATCTAGGGAAGTCTGAACCTTGAGATGAACACTACCACTATTTTATGTCTTTTTCTCCCTAGGCCCACTGGAGTACCTGACCCTGGCATTTGACTGTCCCTGGATGACTGTTGTTAGTGATATCCGACAAGGTCTCTTCTATGCATCACTTCTCTCCTTCTGGTTGATCTTTACTGGAGAACATCTCATGGTGGGTAATGGCTTATTGTACATAACTCATTAAGTATTCTCATGGTACTGTATCATTTTCCTCTTATATGTATGGTACTGGGTTGGACTTCTAGTTGTAGTGGAGGACTGGGTTCTCTCCTCTCACATTACCATTAAAGTGAGGACACAGCCAGTGGTGGAACAACCCTTCAATGGACTAGTATCCTGCTCGGGTTACCCAGTGTCTGCTGAACATTAATAACCAGGGAATCGGTAGTTGCCTGATCACACAGCATTTAAGTATGAGATTACTTGTAAGAGGAGATAAAATGAATTATCTAGAACTAGAGGCATTCCCGGTGTACGAAAGGGTTCCGTTCTTGAAAACCTTTCAAAAATCGCATCGTATTTCCCATGGAATCCCATTATAAAAGTTGAAATGCATTCCTACAAAAAGAAACCGCTTCCCAAATACCATGTGTCTTGGAATGCTATAAAAATTTTGGTGTACACAATAATTATAATTCAATAGTAAACTTAAGTTAAATACATGCAGTGGAGGACACACAAGTTAATGAGAAACTGTGCCACTGGTTATGTTGCAGTGTGAGGCCCAGCCTAGACATAGGGTTTTAATTTTCTAGTGACACGCCAACAATAAGTCTACAGTATTGTATTTGAAATGTTGTTAAACTTCTCCACTTACTAATAACTTTTTATTCTTTCCATTGACATCACATCGAACTTGGGATACTAAACAAATCACCATTCCCACAGTGGATATATCTTAAATCAGCATCTTGGCATTTTATTTCAGTTCTTGTTTTTGAACAACAATTGGTTTAATGCATAAATATCATTGCTTCTGTGTAAGGAGAAATTTAACCAAAATGTGTCATATACTATAGGTGTTATTACAGTGCTCTAATTTTTTTAAGACATTCGGTATACACTGTATATATTGTTTCTGCAGAATTTACAGCAATATTATTTGTTAAAAGATTATTATGCAAAAGAAAGGCAAAATATAGTTACCTCTTTTAACACTCGCGCACCGTGACACACATGAGCGTCAGTGATAATCTCGTCCAATTGGTACTGATGCCCCAACGTGTCATTCAAGAGAACAAAGTTCAGGAAAACTCGCATAATTCCGTCTGAGGCTTGAGATTTGGGCGTATCATTCTGGTAGGCCTCCTCTCTTGTGGTAATCCATCGCCAATTGTTTACTTGACAACAGTCCATAGCACGCTGACCATGAGACATCAGTGTTGTCCCGGCAGTGAAGGTAGACAGTTGAGTGAGTGAGCCCTTTAAATTTTATCTTTATATCCACCCCACATACTTGTGCCATCCAGTATGCAGTAATAATGGCCTGTAAAGTGCTTATAAGTGTTTACAAAGCATAAATTAATTTTACTTATTTTTTTATATTTTACGTACAGTATTCAAATTTGTAACCGTTGTGTGTAAAATGTGCCGTAATGCCCTTCTGTAGATAATACTATACGATAAGCATCTAAACTATCTGAAAAAATGATGAAAAGTATTGTGAAATGTTTTGCTAGTTTACATTTGAGTGTTTATAAAGTGTTTACAGTGATATCTCCGTTAGCCGGAATAATTGGTGCAGAGCACTTCTGGGAATGAGAGATTTCTGGGTAATGAGCCTGACTCTCTCAAAGTCGGAAAAAACCCTCGTCCCCCGGAATTTTCCGGGTAATGGAAAACTTTTCTCGGAATTTACAGAAAATGTGCCCGATTTTCATCTCTCAAACCCGGAAAAAATTCCCCCATCCCCGGAATTTTCCGGGTATCAGCAAAAATTTCCTCAGAATTATCCGGAAAAATGTGCCCCTCAGAAAATGGTTCCCAAAACCGGAATTTTCCGGAAAATTCTGGCTTTAGGAACCATTTTCTGAGAAAATTTAAATTCTGGCTATCGGAGAGTCTCGGGTTTGAGGAATTCTGGCTAAAGGAGATATTACTTTAGTTGGTTTAAAGAAAAAAAATGGTTTCCAAAAAATCTATCTGAAGAAAAAATGGATTCGGCGTGGCTCTTCTGTGCAAGGTCACAACTAGCCCCTGCGTTAGAGGGATACTTGTTATAAATTAGGCGGTGCACGAGTGTTAATTAATTGATTCTTGGGAAAAACAAGTAAGAGAATGTGCTTGGTCTCAGCCTTTTCTGTGATATGTGTTTTTACTGTAGAGATTACGAGAAAGTGGTAGAGCAAGCACTAGTTATGAGCCCGGGGGATGTGACCCTAGGAGGCAGAACTGTATCGAAATCAGGAATTTTTAAAGTGTGCCTATACAACAGCACACTGTAGTTGGGCACTAAGCATATAGGTACTTCACCTGGTCGGTTTATCCTTTACCTAACTAATTCTGACACCCCTGGAGCTAAACTAATTGTGTTTGTTAAAGATTAATATTCTGTCATATTTTGTACATGTGACTCATTAACTCTTGTGTCCTTGATAAACTTCATCATATAATATTTGTCTTTCTCCCATGCTGCACAATGATGACTTGGCAGATTGCGGTAAGAAATATTTGTTTTTAATTTTTGGTATATTGCTAATGGTACAGTATTGTGGTGGCTGTGTGTATATTGTGCTCTCGGTCCACCCAGCTATAAATAGGTACTGTACCTGACTTTACAAATTAGGGAAGTTAAGGCAGTCTAGTGCAGTGCCAGCCATCCTTACTCCTTGCATACTGAAGGCTAAGCACACACTGAGCTTTATCCACACTATCTGTAAGGGGCAGTCTTGCCAATGGGACCTACTGCTTTCATATTGCTAGTGAATAAATTTGCCCCAGACTTGATGGACTCTGTTATATAGAAATTGGACTCCATGAAAAAAAATCCTTTATCAGTTTTCTCTATGGAAAAATCACATCTGGATTAGTTTTCTAGTACAGTATAGAGATTTGACCCCTTTTAGAAGTTTTGCCCTCTCTCAATTCCATAGATATGTAGTAAAGAATGTATACATTTCAGGGTGTGTACATTCCAGTGGTAAAATGTACACCTTCTGTAGATACCAGTAGTTAAATACAGTATTAGGTTAGGCATTTTCTATGTCTTATAAGTATACTGTACAATTGTGGATGAGGAAAACTGACTTGTGAGTTACGTTTCATAAAGGGTCAATAATCTATCTGAACATAACCAGTAGGATCAGGGCCTATTAGAATTGGGACCCATTATCGCAAGGCCCTGTATAGTAGGGGGAGGAGAATTAAATGAATGAAGAAGATGCAAAAAAGTGTGAGCCTGTAAGAATGCCTAATTGATAAGAAGCTTTGTCAATCATTGTGGAGGCTAAGGATTCACTTTGTTTAATGTTTAAGCAAGTTGAGGATGTGTTCAAGTTGTGTAGGGAGTATTTATACTAGGTAGTTGCTTCATCCTTTGTGTTTTTCCTTCTACTCTTGTCTTCCTTATTGTGTCTGCCCCCTTTTCTTTGAGGATTTGGTTCACATGAAACAGTCTATACAAAAGTAAAGATCATTAGACTATACCGTATACCGGTATATGTACAGTGTACTTGTAAAAATTTAATACCATGTCCTGAAATAAAAAGCCTATGTTCTTAAACACTTCTGTCTAGTGTAGCATGCTTGTGTCTGTAAATGCTGATGATATTTTGCAGGATGACATTGAGCGTAACAGACTTCGTGTGTACTGGCGTCACCTTAGTGCTGTGCTGGGAGGCTGCCTTTGTCTCTTCATCTTTGATATGTGTGAACGTGGGGTACAGCTCCGCAATCCATTCTACTCGATCTGGGTGACGGAAGTGGGCACCAACCTGGCCCTGGCATTCATCATTCTTGCTGGAATCTGTGCTGGTCTTTACTTCTGTTTCCTCTCTTACATGATATGGAAGGTAAGACTTGATAGTTTGATAAATGTCTTATAAATGTGATATCTTTATCAAGGGGAAAGGATATTTATTGTCTCAAACAAGTTGGCAGAAGACAAGGCGGACTTGACACCAGAAGTGGGAATAATAAGGTACAAATGGTTACGTCAGCAGAGAACATAATGTAATCTCCCTGTTAGCTGGAATCCCTGATCCCCGGAACTCTCCACTGGAAATCAGGTGCATCCCCACGTGCCAAGTGCGTGGGTGGCCTAGCTGCTTGGATTGATTAGCTCATTCTGCTGCCATTGTAGAAGGTGGTTTCCTCACTTGCTGCTGTTTGGCATACAATTTGTGTTGTGCAGAACTGTTCATTACTGTACCAGGACACAATCAGCCAAGAATACAGTGTTAAAGCAGTGTCAATACATAAAAAGTGATTACTGTTATGTATTCTGTAACTACTTTCATTCATTAAGTGGGAAACACTAGAGCACCTTAGCTTTTGTCTTTATTCAAGACAGTGGTTGTCCTGAAAATGCATCAGAAGGTTAGTAGTATGAGACCACTAATCCCCCACTCCCCACCACTGCTAATGACAGAAGAGCTTACAGTATATGCAATGCGTGACATGACATTGCGTCAGGTCAGGTCAAGTCAGGTCAGTGACATGAGACCCACTGATCGCCTACCACACCTCCACTGCAAGTGTTAAAGCATAAAAAGTGATTACAGTTATGTATTACGTTTAGCAGAGTGTATGCTTACTGTAGGCTCATGATGGCAGCATCTGCTGGTGAGTACAGTATATACAGTACAGTAGTAGTATACATTATTTTGTTTATTTACAATGCAGGAAAGCCTCCGATAACAACGATTCTACGAAGGATGATTCATATTTAAGACCCTGTTTAATTTAGGACCCAATTCAATTTACAATATTATTTTCTTCGTATTTATGATGAAAATGTTATAAAACTAAAGTAAAATTACATTTTCATATAAATAATAACTAAATCCTGATATGTATTTAAAAAAAAAACTACATTGTGCACAGAGGCTGCTGGGCTTGTGAGTAGTGACGCCAGTATAAACAGTCACAGCATCTGAACAGGGAAGAGAGAAAAACATTCTCAGGTGTCTTACCGCATTTTTTGCATCCTTATTCAACATGAGCAAGAGAGCAAGTGATGGTAGTGCTGGTTTGAAAGCTAAAAAAAGTGTATAAGCTTAGCCCAGAAACTAGATGTGTTAAAACGATATGAGAAGGACGAGAGGTCTGTGGATATTATATGGAGCTAGCAATGAACATATTTTCTGAAGTGGATCCATTAACAGAACGAAGCACAAAAACTAAGACATGAAAAATGCCAATGACCTCCACATAAAGATGTATAATGAGAAAAGAAAGCAGCTGTGCAATGTTCTTTTGATAGGTTTATTATTCAGCCAGAGTTTAACCCGATGACTTGGTCATCTGAATAAAACTCACACGACATCATTGGCTGTCCTTATGTTTTTTACTTTTACCACCGTTGGTGAGTAGAATGTTGTTTTACATTTGTAAGTATTATTAAAAACATATATGAACAGTAAATAATTGTTGCTTTCATATTCTTGTGTAGAGAAATGTCGATATGTTTTCACATGTACACACTTACATACATTGGCGTTCTCAATCGTCTCGCTTTATTGCTTTACCATTAGTGGTTAGCTACTTCTATCGTTCCATTTATTAACATTGAATATTACTTAACACTTACATACAGGCATTAATTTTTTACAATAAGTTTACTACAGCTACAACCAGGGTCTTATTTTCTTCAGTTTCTTATGTAGAACCATCGTCACTCACGAAAACAAAGCCGTCTTGCCTCCTCGTGTGTGTTTTAACATTCTACGTATTATTAATGAATTGCATTGTTCATTTCGCATATATGAACATTAATTCAATCAAATACATATTCAGTAATAAACAATAATGAATCTTTTGTACATATTCTTAAGATAAAAATGAATCCGTTTCCTTAAATGCGCTCGTATGTGTTGGCGTTCCCAAACCATCTCACTTTATTTCTTTACCATTAGTGGTTAGCTACTTTTATTGTTCCATTTATTAACTGTACTGTACTAACAAAAACAATGGCATTCCATCTCCTCTTTTGCAACCATTTTATTATTCATTTATATTGTATTAGGTGCATTCAAAAACAATATTTAAAGAATATAGTTTGCATTTTTCATTAATTGTATTGTTTTGGGGGAAAAGAGGGTAAAAAGCCACACAAGCGATATGAAAAGGTCACACTGGGGATCGCATCTCATTATTATTGCTTTATTTTAATGGTAATTTATGATTCATGATACGATGATTCACCTTACTCTGCAATGTTGAGGACACATTATCGTCGTCATTCGAGGCTTTATTGTATATTATACGTGTACAGTGGTGTTTGCATAAATAAATACAGCTTGTGTCTGTCCTTACGAGATGCATATTTAAACTTTTAAGAAAAACTTTCTCCAGTATGGGGTGGAAAATTTCACTGTCTTGTTTGTGACACACAGCTCCATTTTTAAAATTAAAGGTACATTTATTTAACCATAAATTTAGATAAACAGGAAAATCCAGGACAATTTTGAGCGGAGAGTCGTTTCGTTACCCGGAAATCTCTCGTCCCCGAAAGAGCTCTGTACCGATTGTTCCGACTAATGGAGATACCTCTGTACAGTTTACGGTTTCCAAATTGTACTGTACAGTACTGTACTTTCATACTTACTGAGGTTATTTTTTTATAGTGAACCAAATTTATGTTTTTCTTCATTGTTCTCTTCGTGGATAGACATAACAATGACACTAAAATGATTGTTTAACTTCATCTAAAACCATTTTGGTCATTTTCAGGTGTTTATTAATATCAGCAGTAAGCGTCAGTCACTGTCGGCAATGTCTTCTGCTCGGCGCCTCCACTACGAGGGTATTATTTACCGCTTCAAAGTGCTGATGTTGGCTACTCTGCTGTGTGCTGCCATGACTGTGATTGGCTTTATCCTGGGACAGGTACAGTAACAGAATTCAAGTTGGTCACCATGACTGTAAAATTGGTTTTATCATGGGACAGATACAGTGAAAAGTCCTTTACATGTATTACCAATATATATATATATATATATATATACAGTGGTCCCTCGGTTAACAAACGGTTCGGTTAACGAAATTAAAGCTTAAAGAATGACCTTTAGAGGTAATGGTAGTGGGGATTTAATAAAAAAAACCACTTTTCTTATTAACAAACCATTATTGTTACTGTTGCAGGTGTCAGAGGGTCAGTGGAGCTGGGACGAGAACATAAAGTTGGAGTACACAAGTGCATTCTTCACAGGAGTATATGGCATGTGGAACATCTACACTTTCGCCCTCATCTGCTTATATGCACCATCACACAAACGCTGGCCTAAGGATCAAAGTAAGAACAATGGAAATCAAGTTTCTCTCGGTGAATTTTGTAAAATATTTACCCAACAAATGTATGCCTTTTTTCAGCTTGGATATACAGTATACGAGTACACTAGATAGAGGCCAACTATTTCTCTGAATCATCCCTCTAGATTATTTATTTTACAGATTTGTATATTTTTATTTTTGTTTTTAAAGATAGATGAAATATTTGATTATGGTCTTTCACCTTTATTGGGGTGACTTCCTCTAATGTAAGGAGGTTGATCATAGCTTTGGTATGTGTTAAGACCTAAGTGACCCGCTGTAAGTACAGTATATCATGCCAGATAACAATAAGTTGTGAGATTTAACATGACCAAGTGACTATCCTGTACAAGTGTCGTCAGCCATTGTGAACAGTTGAACTGATGTATGGGAGAGTGAATTGTGTCTGGTATAAAGAACTCATTTATCTGATGGCAGGAAACTTACAAAGCTAACTTAGCTAATCTCTAAATACCTTAGTGTTCATTTCATAACTTGGGATCACTGCAGTGTTTCTTGTTTGTTTAATGATTTACCTTACACAAGTGATGGACCTCTAATCCCCAACATCTCTATATAATTTCTGTGCCTCTTCCTAACTTGTAATGAAGACTTGTTCAGTCAGCCAAACCAGATAACAATATTAAGTCTACACTGCCTGAACAAATATGGCTGTATCCTTGACTTCTTATAGATACAGTGTTTTAATTTTTGAAGATTTCTACTTGTGGCTGCTTCACAATTCATGCTAGGAACAGTGCATCAAAAATACTGTAGTTACTGTATCAGCTTTTTACAGCATTACTCACAGCTTCTCAGGTAGTTGGTGTATTTTTCTTATACTATTTTTGTAACCCCACTTTTACACACCAATTTTATGCCTTTTTCTTTTAATCCATTCTTCTTGTGTATTGTCCCAGGATGAGCTGTTCTGTGTTAACACATTCATGTAATGCACATTTGCATCATCCATTATCTGACCTTCATCATTCATTCTCTTTGCAGTGTCCATATCAAAACCCTTCCTGAATATGTTGTCATAAGGGGCAGGTCCAGGATTTTTTTTAAGGGGGGTGTTAATAAACTTCTAATGATAAATCTGACTTTTTTTTTTAGTAAGTGTCAGTTTAACAGACACTAAGGAACCGTTTTTCCCCATTAAAAAAGTGTGTTTTTCTGGTGGTTACAGTTCTGGAAATCACTGTTCACTGTCAGGATAGGGGGTCTCTCTCTGTTCTGGTTTTAGTTGACTGGGGGGGGGGGCTGGATCCCACACTGATCATAAGTAATATTTTAACCACCTGTCAAGTTCCCACATAACCACATTTCACACTCTGATTCCATCCCTCATATTATCACTTTTCTTTTATGTGCATTGTCTTTTTGTACAAGTGTGTGTGTGTGTGTGTGTAAAGTATATACTGAATCTCTACATATTGTCGTAGCCCCTTTCTGTTGCTTTCTACACTTATCTTGCTTATCCTTGAACCAACCCATAGACTCAGGAGCTGTAGGTAAAGACAAGGGAGAGATAAATAGATAGATATGACTTCAGGTTCTCTCACTTTTTAGTTAAGATCAGACATTATTCTCCTCAAGTTGGACATCATTACTATATCTCTTTCTGGCAACAGTTACTGTATGTCCTTGTCTCTTTTATGATGTTTTCGGTTCACATACTGTATCATTGCTACACCATTCATAATGTATTATACCTGTATATTTTGTTTATGCACTCTTGATGACTTATTCATATTTCCAGTATACTTCCACACTCCTTTTGGGTGGCAGAAGTACCTTTTTTTTAACATTTCAGGCTCTGACTAGTATAGTATGTAAACACCCAAGTCACTGATCCCTGTACATACAAGTCTTTGAATCCTTGAAACTACCAAGTCACCTAACCCCTGAAAACACCAATCATTTGATCCCTGAAAATACCAACCCCTGGATCCATAAACCCTTGTTAGCTAATTTCACAGAGTATTTTTGTGAGTTGTTATCATAAAGCTCATAGTCATCAAACCACACCCTTCCTCCCCTGTCTTCTATATCATTTAGCTGTAATATGAATGTAGTTATTGCTGGAATTTGAAATTGACATGTTTTGCATTACTCACCATGTGATTCAGTAAGGCTTTTATGAAGAGAAATTATGAATTTATTGAAGGTTTTTATATTAAATGACCTTAACTTTGACTATTTTAGTTGATCCTCATATCTCATGATGATACTTCAGTTCTCTACTGTGTAAACTCTTCTGGTTCCTGTCTCCATTCTCAAACAAAGCAGGAACAATTGTTGTTGGAATTGTAATAAAGTTTGTCGTGTTACTTGTGCCATGATCTGGTCCCTTACATTTTAACTTCAACTTGTAATATCATGTGAGATAGTGAGAATACTGGATTATTGTGAATATGATTATCAGACATCTCTCAGGAGTTGACTTCTTGTATGATCATGTCAGGTGGGACATCTCTCAGGTGTAACCTAATAATACTGAAGCTTCCCTTTTTTTTTTGTCCCATAAAGACTATTCAGTAAAAAAAAAACTACTAATCACAATTAATTTTCACTTCAGACTGGGCGGTATCAGACAACTGCGGTACGTTTCCAGTTAGTCATTCATGTCTTAGTGTGTCCTTGTTCTTGTGCTAACATTCACTTGTATTAGTTTTGAGAATTCCTAATTTATGCTTTTTATTATAATTAACTTTGATCTTGAGATGTTCTGATGTTGACCTATTTTATTAATTTATGCATAAAAACAAGATGACCTGAGAATACCATGAACATCATGTATTTCTTTATAAAGTCCCTTACTCTCATTTACATTAATTTAAAACAAATAATAATAATTTGTGCTTTTTATTATACAGTTCTCAACTTTGATCATGACATATTTTGGTGTTGAATTATTTTAAGTTATGCCTTCAAACAAAACCCTTGTGTATTAATAATATCACACCCACCCTGTATCTCCCCAAGTCCTACATGTGGGGAGTTGCTTCTTGTGAGGATGGTCTCTAATCTGCTTCACATAATTTTGATGACAGTTTAGTAATGGGCAATTCCACGGCCACAGTTAATAGAACTACTAACTGTTTAACATTATGTTTGCCTTTCCTGAATAAATCTTGTGTAAATATAGAAATAAGTCAATTGGGGTTTATCTGCAATATTTCTTGTAGAATATTTTTAAGCTTTCAGGTCTTGGGAAGGTCTGAAAGAATGATTGTTGTGGTTGAGAGTTCGGTAAAGGAATTTTGCTCTTAAGGTAGCCCAATAATGAGGCACACTGATATTGCACACTGCTTACTACATGACAGACAGTTCAAAATGATGAATTCTACAGAAATATTTTTCCAATGTGCCACTTAATGAAGTTTTCTTGTACAAATGCAAAGTTCCATTTGTATATTCCTATGTGGAATTGCCCTACAATAAACTTTTTTCTTTTGTATGTTAGATCTTTTATATCATGTTTTATAATTAGTTTCTTGACACCAACAATGAGGTGTTCTGTAAGATTTTTGTTGTTGTTTGAATGGAACAACTGACAACTCTTCTTTGTTTATTTGGCATATTCTTAAATATTTTATTCAGATAATGCTCTGCATGTGTCATCCTTAGGCCCTGAAAAAAATTGTTTGCTGTAAGAGTCCCCAAAATTAACACGACCATTAACCCAAATTGTCCCTAATGGTAAATCCGTGTTTTACTTTAAGGCTTTTGGGGGGATTAATCTTACTTTGATTATCACCCAGAAGTTACTACGCTAGTACATGCTTAAGTAAGGTTGCCAATTTTTCCTAGTTTTTGTTATTACTACACACACGTCATATGTTTTTCAATGTCTTTCTCTTACATAGTTTAGCATACTTTTCCTACCAGCACTTAAACAGTTTCTACCTGAGTCTTCTTATGATATCTTTATATTTTTAATCCAGATAACTCCAGCAGTGAAAATTTTCAAGTTGGTGAATGTGCCAAAGTGCCCAGGTACTTCATTGTTTTTGTTTAACAACACTAGTGTAAGGCTGAAGAGCTGTAGAGGCAGGGAAGACACAGTGAAGTGCAAGTATTATGAGGTAGCTGTCTCACAGGATAACTTTTTCAACAAAGTGAAAATGCCTGAAATATTTTATTCATTTATTTGATTGGATTTTTCACACTGAAGGGGGTGGGGGGTTGAAGATAAACATGAATGATTGATGAGGATTAACCTCTTCTATCCTCCTATACCACATGAACTATATAATTTATTTATCAGTCATATTAAAACAGTCTCTGGGACATTATTGTCAGCTTTTTGTGTAGTATGGTTTGAAACTTGAAAGAATGTAAGAGAAATCTGTGAAATATTGCTAACACAGTGATACTAACACCAGGTGAGTGCAAACTTGTACTGTGCAATATATAATTTTATTAGGCCATGATATTGATTTTCAGGTTGACATAAACAACTTTCTTGTACATAATACAGTACAGATAAAATTACTTTGGTAGTAGTCCATGTTAAGTTGAGGCAATAGTTTAATAACTGCTTAATAACTCAGACAGTGAGTACAGTATATGTTTGTCTTATTAGGTGGATCTGGTGATTTAGTGAAGAGATAAAGCTCCACAGATGATGACATCTCTTATGTTGAATTGTTAGTACGTATATGAGGGTATAAAATAAGAGTGAAAACAAAAGCCCTTTCTGCACCTCTGCAAAATGTCCTATAATTTTGTAGAAGCTAAGTACAGTACAGTAATTTAATTTGTGTATTTTATTCTTATACAATAATTTGTTTAAAAGATATTTTAGTAAAACAAATTCTGAATGTCTTTTTTTTTATAAATGCATTAGTATTAGTACAAAAAAATCTTGTTGATAGTGCATTTTAAATGGTTATATTGAGTAGCTTTTAAACCCTGTTGTGTTGTGTAAGGCTGTGTTGTGCAGTATGGTTGGTGTTTTAGCTCATGGAGATGTGT